TCGAGTTACACTACTCTAGTAACTGTATTTAAATAGGGAAAACGTGGAGGTGTTTGGTCGCTTCTCTTCTTGGCACGTATTGAATGAACAGGGTTGAGATAAGATCTAACAAAGTTTCGACGAGAGAGGTATGTATCAACTCGTCTTAGTTAAGGGAATAACATAGTTTAATATGAAAAACCAGTAGATTATCCCTTTAAAAGAAAACATATTTTGCTTTAAGAATATTTATTTCCCCTTTGTAGAATTTATTATATTTTTAAAATGTTCATGCGAGTATATTTTCAGACCATTGTAAAACACCGGTCACACACTGAACACACTCAAACTGACACGCTATTAGAGAAAATGTGTTTAACTCTACACCACCAGTGTGGGGGGGGGGGGGGGGGGGGGGGGGGGGGGGGGGGGACCTACAGAACTGTCCAGGAAATTGGCCCCAGCCATCAATAACTCGAAAAGTTTTGACACTTCTCAAATAGCATCCTCTGTGATCTGCAGAATTGCTTTTTCCCATCCCTTTGAAGAAATTGATACCTTGTGTTGAAGAGAGCAAGAGAGAGATCGAAAAGAGGGGATGGAAAAAAGATGTCAAACTAAAAAAAAGTGCTACAACAGGGGGAAAAAAAATCGAGTTTTACAATTACATACAATTGTATCTAAGTGTGAAACGGATGGAAGAGACTGTAAAACAGAGCTACACAAGGCAGAGGAGGACAGAAAATAGAAAAATAATAAAAAATATGAGAACAGACAGACACAGTGACAGTGTTTTGTCACTTGACAAGTGCTGTTTGAGTTTGTGTATGGGTTTATAGTTTAGGGGTAAATGTTTCCTCAGAAGTCATCCTCAAAAAATACAGTAACTGTCAAAAGTTTGGAAATGGAAACATTACAATGTTTTTGAAAAAAGTCTCTTCTGCTCACCAAGGCGGCATTTATTTAATCAAAAATACAGTAAAAACTGTAATTTTGTGAAATATTATTATTTAATAATAATATCGTTGTTTTAGCATCATTAGTCTTCTGTGTCACATAATCCTTCAGAAATCATTCGAATATGCTGATTTGCTGCTCAAGAAACATGTATTTTATTATTATCACTAATAGTAAAAATACAATTAATTTAAATTATAGATATGAATATTCTGTTTATGTCACATTAAGGACGTATGTTGCCAATTCATGTTGACACACAAACACACATCAAGCTCACAATCAATGATTTTCTAAACTTCACAATTGTCACTTTTAACCCAACTCCCAATACCCCGTCCCCTAACATCTGTTCTCTGGCAGGGGTGTGATCTCAAAGACTCTGGTCCCTGCCAGGGCTAATCACCTTTGAGCATGGACACATACAAGGGGAAAGATTATGGCAAACCGCAGACTGCCCCCTTTTCAAAATGCCAACTTCAGTCAGGGCAGGAGGGTTTAAATACCACTCAAATGTCAGTGCGAGGCCCCACAAGTCAAACTAAATTACCTCCTACCTGCTCCGTCTCCCCTCTCGCTGTAGTGAGCATGTCTCCAATTCGCATGCGTAGCCAAACACACACACAAATATAAAAACCCACAAATGAGTGAGTGAGGCTATAACATAAAACACCGAAAGAACTTCCAGACTGATTCAGGTAGTTGAAAGCAACGGAATCGTACACAAACAAACAGACACGTACACAAGCGGCCTTTATGGAGCAACCGTATTGATCTATTGGGAGATTTGATACACAGCAGAGTGTTTTCACGCTTTGTGCTGTACAGTGCTAGCAGAAGCCATATATTAGCGTACAGTGAGCGGGTCTGGAAATGTGTGAAGTTACCCAAAGGAATTATCGATTCCCTCGGACTGCTCCTCCCCAGCATCAATCAAAAAAAGCATCAACTCCACACCTTTGAGATCTTCAACGTCAGCCTCTTCCACAGAGACTATTGATCACAAATTGCATGGTGAATTGATTGGCAGTAACATTAAGAGCCTGTATTGATTTTGATGTAAGTTTAGGTTCTTCTCGGTCACTGATAAAACAAACTCCTGCATCAGTCCGCACAGGTGCTGTTCGATCGCTGCGTAGGGTTGAATAAGGGGGTCAAGGTTTAGCGTGGGCCAAGTGTCCCCTGTAACTAAGCATACTGTTGACAAAAAAAACACTTTTTCCAGTTATGTCTATTGAAAAATTTAGCAACATATAAATTGCAAATGTGCAAATGCTTATATTTGTATTTATCTGCTGCCTTTGACAAAGTGGCACGGAAAAGTTTTTTTATTTTTATTGTCAACAATAACGAATATGCTAAAAATTACATTAAATAATCAATAAACACATATAAAACACCGATGAGAAAAATATGATAAAATATAACAAATATTGCTAAATATTTGTTATAATATACATTTATAATAAATATTTATAATGTTTTTTTAACAAACCGTATAAAAAAGTTTTTAAAGATGGCACGAAACAGAAGTTGTGAAAGTCTTTTCTTGTATTAAAAAAAGTTAAACATTTTGGTGTGCAAAATATGCTTATAATATACTTTTACACATTTTTCAAAATATATTTAAAAAAAAAGTTAAACAAAGTTTGTTCTTAAATACTGCTCAAAAATGAGGAAAAATAAGACTGCAAAATATGTATTATAATGTCTGTTTATAAATTGTAAAATGTATAGATTAGTCTGCTACAGTTTTTCATATTATCATGAACTAAAATGCTATTTCCGTCAACCAAAACATGTCACTTTAGTTGCCTGACAATATGACATTTTTTTATTTAAAAGGACATTTCTATCAAAAGATAAAAACTATGATTTTGACAATAAGTGATAAGTCGTGCAATTTACGGTAAAAGATATTACACCCATGTTCCCAAAAGCAAAGTCGGCTACAAGGATATCTTTTTCCTCATAGGGCTGAATGTGTATCAATGCAGCAAAGAATTAAGCTCCACGAGCACAGCCAAGGTCGGGTGGCCACACATCAGGCTCCTCGCAGAGGACTATGACTGATAGCAGCCATTATGTGGCGGCAGGCAAAAGGTGGAGTGCAGTCACTCGTTTATTCATGCATTCATTTGTTCGGTCCGTCACCCCAGCAGGGACCAGATGAGCTGTCTATACTGTCGGAGTGATGATCCGCCTGCCATTCATCTCAGACGGACAGCTGTCTGACACTCCCTCTGTCCATCCCCTGCTGCTGTCGCCCTGCTCGCGTGAACACTGATAGAAGCTCATTTAGATTAATGAACACGGCTAGAATATATCAGTGTGCAGCAGGTGCCTCCACTTCATAGTGGGCGTACTGTAAAATATACAGCCGGAATCACAGCAGGCTAAAAGATGTATTTTTCCCAAATGACATTTAGCAACAGGGTTATTGTTTTATATCCCGAAAGTACTAAACGGGCATAAAGTTTGGCAAACTCAACACAAGTTCATGACTATTGAGGTTGCGATTGCTAATGTGATGTGAACATGAGAAGAATTTAAGCTGAAATGACACAAAATGAGGATGTGGTACCATTACGACAAAACTGCCAAATTGGACATTAAAGGCCTGTTTACACCCGGTCATGAGTTTTTACTGATCGGATGGCTATCTGATTTGTTCAAACGGTTCCGTTTACACTTGCCCACATAAATGTGTCTCCGCAAAAAGGATATAAATCCGATCGTCAACACCCGCGCTTTATGCAAATTTCACGTCAGTGAAAGCAACAGATATGAGCTGCATTTTATTTATCATCAGTAATTTCAAGATTAAAGACCGCAATAGGAGAGAGCGCGGCATCAGCACTGGTAAGACCATTTAGTCTCACTACTTTTAATGAAGATGATTGTGTTTTGAGCGTCTGCGACTTACTTTCTGTTTTATTGGCAGCAGTTTGCATGTTGGCTTGCTGAAGAGATACACAGATTCATCTGCGGCGATGCGTGTTGCGGTAGCGCCGTAATATCTGGCTATAATATGTCATATAGCCTATAACACGCTCTCACGCGTTTGTTTTCTAACATTTTGGGAGAAGTACAATTTGCATGCATTTAGACTTGTCCAGTTTCATCTGGACCACCTCCTGATGAGAGCGATCAGATTTAAATCCGTCTCGAAAGCGTTTCGGAGGGCATTTACACCTGGTCTTTTCACGATCGGATAGCTATCCAATCTGAGAAAACGCATGAAGTGACCAGGTGTAAACAGCCCCTAAACTGTGAAGAACCGCGTTAAACAAGCCACGTGATTTGAGATATTATTCATGTTGTAGTTACTCATTCTTAAGCTTAATACTTAATAGGGTTAAAGGTTTGTTCTATTCTAAAACATATGCTTGAATTGACATGGGTTAAAATGCCTACAATAAAGTAATTGAACAGAAAATCTGGCTTTAGAATCAGGCTTCCATACTTCTGTGGTATAGCAGGGCAAAAGCCGTACATCCACAGAGTGTGCATTAAGGCCAAAGGGTCTGTTAAAAGAGTGTCTAAAAAGGGTGTTACATGGAGGAAATAAAAACAAGCTTTCTGAGAGTGACACTGACCATCTCTGGGAAAAAAGAAATAGATAAATAAAAAACAGAAAATCAATGCACCACGGCTCGAAAGTAATTGTGAGCAAGAGGAGTATCGGGAAGTCCAGTCACGTTGTGGGCAGGACAACCATGCTTGGGATATGTCTCTGAATTAGAGTGGTAATATGACAGGGCATTAGTGGGTTGGGCCGATGATCCAATAGATTAGGAGATTGAAAGGAAAATTGAATGCGGAGCGGTTCTAAATGGAACACTCCAATTGATACCGTCAGAACAAATCAAACTCAATGGCAGGGGCTCGGTAAAGACGCGGTAATGGCCGCCGGCCATGAAAAATATGGAAGGAATGGGAAAAAACAAACACATGTAATGGCGAAATAGATGGATGAATCAGGGGACAGTTTAAACAGCTTGTTGAAATGCAGCTTTATAAAGCATGTTCAGGAGACACATATATTTGTGAACAGGACCTACCTAAGCAATGGCTGAAAGATGACCGTGATGTTTCTGGCTCCCGGTTTACACAGGAACTTAGTCTCTCCTCCCTCAATCAGGTTATCATCAGCTCCACCTGGACAGAAAGAAGCAGGAAGAAAAGATTAAACAGACTTTCCTCAAACACTAACTCAATTGATACGGGCCCTTCACATGGGATGCATTCTTGTGTTCAGCACAACAGAATAGAAAAGAATGCAGGTGTTTTGAGAAAAATCTGTGAAAGTTAAAGGGATACTCCACTTTTTTTGGAAATAGGCTCATTTTACAACTCCCCCAGAGTTAAACTGTTGAGTTTTACCGTTTTTGAATCCATTCAGCCGATCTCCGGTTCTGGCGGTACCACTTTTAGCATAGCTTAGCAAACATCATTGAAGTGGACAAGACCATTAGCATTTCTAAAAAAAAAAATGACCAAAGAGTTTCGATATTTTTCCTATTTAAAACTTGACTCTTCTGTAGTTACATCGTGCACTAAGACCGACGGAAAATGTAAAGTTGCGATTTTCTAGGCTGATATGGCTAGGAACTATACTCTCATTCCTGCGTAATAATCAAGAAACTTTTCTGCCGTACCATGAGTGCAGCAGGCGCAGGCACTTAGTCCCGGTCACGTTGGAAGAAAAATATCGAAACTCTTTGGCCATTTTTTTTTTGAGAAATGCTAATGGTCTTGTCCACTTCAATGATGTATGCTAAGCTATGCTAAAAGTGGTACCGCCAGAACCGGAGATCAGCTGAATGGATTCAAAAACGGTAAAACTCAACAGTTTAACTCTGGGGGAGTTGTAAAATGAGCCTATTTTCAAAAAAAGTGGAGTATCCCTTTAAACATCTTTAAATAAAAAAATAAAATAAAATAAAAACAGCACTAATGACACAAAATGCTGAACGAAAACATGAAACATGTCACAATGATCGAAGAAATGTTTATAGCACGCACACAAAAAAATGCTTCCATTGACAAGTGTACAGCTCAGTGGTCATTACAAAAAAAAATTGGACAGCTAAATGTCAAAACAAAACAAAACAAAAAGCAAACAAAATGAATCAAAACAAAACGAATCAAAGCAAAACAAAAAACAAAAGGCAAAAACAGAACAAAACAAAGCGAAACAAAAATAAAAAAACAAAACAAAGCAAAGCAAAAAAAACAAAGCAAAGTGAAGCAAAACATTTGATCAAATCATTGCAATTACCACAAGCCGGAGAGAGAAATATAAGTCTCCCCCTCCTCTTTCTCCCATTTGCTCCTCTTTGCCTGTGCGTAGTCCTGCGCTAACAGGGTTAATAAGAAAATCATGGCTGTGTAACTCTCTCATGATGAGACAGGGCCCAAAAAATGAAGTGAGCTCCAATCCTTATTAGCTCCACTCATCCACAAGTAATCAATATAATTGACAGCAAGAGAATCAAGTCTGCCATCAATAAGAACATTCCCGGGCGGACAGAAGGTGTGTGCGTGGCCTCATGGGTCGATGAATGGAAGTGCCACCGCGGCAGGACACTGGCATCTCTCTCGCACTGTGACAATGTTATTCATTAAAATTTCACAGCCCTTTGAGATTAGCCACTGGAGAGACTTCTGTAACTACGTAGCACTAAGCCCGGGCACCGCCATCCTGACAAACACCATGCAGGAAAAAACATCTGAGACACTCGTGTGCACATCACACACACAATCCCCTCGTCGAAGAATCACTTTAATTGCTTTTATCAGTCAGTTGTTACAGGAGATTTCTTGCCCAGGGGATGGGAAATGAGTCCAGGAACACAAATTAATGCTGGAAGATTTATGTGACGCACATATATCACGTTGTGTGATGGGTTTTGATTGCCATGGAATTACAAGTGAAGCAAAAGAGTGCGCTTGCATGATTTGTGTCCAACGTTGTAATCTCAGACCCACTGGTACGGGTTTAATCGCAAGTCTGGAATCAGAGTTATCCTTTGTTCATTGTTTTGGGAGGCAAGACGTGCTTCAAATGAAGAACGTGTTCACCTTTTACTGCACTAAAAACCCTGCAGTGCACCTGTCCGGCATTCACACGCACCTCCCGCTGCTGTTCCTGTCATTTCCACCTTCCTGACATTCTTCATGGAGCACGTTCTGATGAAAAGCTCTCTGGCTCTCTCTCTCCCTTATTTCATTTCCACCACTTTTTCTCATTAAAAAAAGACAAGAGGATTCTTTATCCTCTCTAAAAGCTTTCTGGTTGGAGCTCTGGCTGTTTTTCTGGCTGGCTCTTAAGTTGCTGCTCTGGAAAGGGAACTCATCTTCCTTTAGTTTCCTGTTTCTCTTTTTCTCTCGATCTATCCAATCTCTCTACAGCTAATTCAATTAAGACTCAATTACAACTTCAAAACAAGAAAACACAGCTGACAACGCACACACTGACTCTGACCTAAACAAGCGACAGGAGGAGGGAATAACAGAGAGAACTGGTACAAAGGAGAGTTGCATGATAAAACAATTACTATTTAAGGGAGGAAATAGGTAAACAACAACTGAAAATAGTGACAGGTTTTGTCAAAAAAAGTGAGGGAATGACTTGCAGCATCAGAAAGAATCGGTTTTAAATTATAAATAAATTATTTGTAAAGTTTTCCACCAGACATGTTCATGAAGTGCAATAGCTGTAAATTTTCCTCATTGTTAACAAAAATCCTTTAATTAAAAAATCCTTGTTGTTAATCTTTACTTAAATATTTTTAATGGAATTTCAGTACATATTGTGTAAAAAAAAAAGTGCTTATTTAATTTGTACAATTCCGAGCGGCTTTCATTTGCTATCATTAAATTGTATCATACACCACTTTGCTCTCTATATCAGTATGAGCCATTAAAAAACCCAAAACAGTTGATCACTAATTAAAAACACATAAATGAAAGATGCGCTAGCCAGCAGGTCAAAGAGTTATGCATCCAGATTGTGCGGTTACATTTAATGGCACAGACAGAAGAGAAAATGTCATCCCACGCCAGCCTGGCTTGACTCAAATCATTATTCAGATTCTAGCACATATTAAGGAAGGTCCATTAAAATGTTGTCAGCACGACAGACTTTACTGGAAAAGCAACTGTCCAACATCTGCTGTGTTAAATATATAATTTATAAACAACAGTTTAACAAGTTATTTCAACATTCAAATAATAAACAAATGTGAATAAATACGACGAGTTAGCTGGTCCAATTTATTATTATGTCCCTCCACATCTGTTGGTGGTTTATTATTATGCTGAAGAGTGTTTCCTTTAATAATCTACGTGTGCATAAGATTACGCGAGAGGTGTTATAGCCTGGCCCGGTGGCCCCTGTAGATGCCGCTAATATAGGATTGGGATGCACCTTTACATCAAATTTACATTTCTATTATTGGCAGGCACTCTCTTACCAAAGCGACTTACAAGAAAGTGCACGTATTGTGCAAGTCAGTCTGATGAGTGAAAAATGTGTGACTGCGCATACACGCACACCTCCCACTCATGTCAGCCCCCATGTAATCAAGCCAGCCAGTGACTTAGTGAAATTGCATTAGCTACACTTTCGTGGGTTTGATTAGAAATGGTCTGATCTGAGACTCTGTCCCTGCCCGGATCTACAGCAGAGAAACGTGTAGTGCCTTCACTAACACCAGTGGATCCATCCGTGCATGTGTGTATGCGAAAGAAACAAATGCATGTCATTGTGTGAGGGCATGCTATCAGGCCGAAAAGTCTGCTGTGGAGTGTGTGTGTGTGTGTGACAGCAGAAACATTAACAACAGATCGGAGATCACTCATTTACAATGAGTGTCAATATTGGGCACTGTTTGTGTAACAGTCAACTCTGATCCAGCTACTCTGTGTGTGTGTGTGTGTGTGTGTCAGCAGAAACCGTTGACAACAGATCGGAGATCACTCATTTACAATGAGTGTCAATATTGGAGCATTGTTTGTGTAACCCAAACAGTCAACTCTGATACAGCTGGTCTGTGTGTGTGTGTGTGAGTGTGAGTGTGAGTGTGAGTGTGAGTGTGAGTGTGAGTGTGAGTGTGTGTGTGTGTGTGTGTGTGTGTGTGTGTGTGTGTGTGTGTGTGTGTGTGTGTGTGTGTGTGTGTGTGTGTGTGTGTGTGTGTCGCAGACCAGTTAACATGTGCAGCACAGAAATAACACTCAAACTCTCATTCAAAGACAAATTTAAAGTAGTGTGGGCCCCAAAGTATCTGGACACTGAAGTCACACTAAAAACATGTATGAATGTCACTGCATTTGAAGCAAAATAAGACCCCAAGTGGCATTTGCAAACAAATCATGTTAGAATTCAGTTCCTTAGAAGTATCTTCTAGTTTTGCAATTACTTACTGGACCCAAAGTCATTTTGTGTGAATGTATGTAGTCAAATCTCAAGGTTCGAGGTTTGGATGGTTAGCATGGTCTTGTTAGCCCCTGCAGGTACATTCTGTAATTACTTATAATCAATCAATCTCCATTAATCATTCAAAATTAGCAGTGTATTTTGTCTGACAATCAATTTAGTCAACCAAACTTTTAAACCTGTGTGCTATCTTACTTTAAAATTATACTTGATTTGATATTTTGTTATCGAATCCAGTGACACTTACACACTTTTAAGTGTGGCTTAAGTGTCCAAATACTTTTTTAATGGGGCAAGGCCTTCCCAAAACATAAACGTATACTTGAAAATATACGTAAACACAAGGCACAGCCCATTCTCTGTTTGTACAGTGCTCTGGCTTGGTCTTCACAGGTTGGTTATCAGTTGAGCTGCCACAGACAGACAGTCTACACAGCACAAACCCATACCAGCTGCCAGGTTTCTCCTAACAAAACGGAATGAAGATCGACAGGTGTGTGTGCGTGTGTGGCCAATCAGTGCTGTCAGGCAGAAACCTCCAACTTGAAAAAAGAACAGGCCAATTTTCAATAATTCATGACTTCCCAGTTGGCCTGGTTATAATTCCTCTGCCATGTCTTCATGTCTGATTGGCTTCTGATGAGACTCCTCTATTATTAAAACTAATTTTAAGAGAACAATATTCCAATATTTTCGTCAAGGAGAGAGCCGAGACCAC